GAAAGAAAACAGTGAATCTTACTCGTCATCATGAGTGGTTTCAAACGGTTTAAGGATGTAACTAAAGAACGAGAATGAAAGCAAAGCAAAAAAAAAACTAAAGAACGAGAATTTTATTTTTCAAACCATGTACCATAATTAACTAAACAATATTGTGTTTGGTAAAAACTGATGTGCCATACTTAAGTAAGAATAAAAATTTATGTTAAGTAATAACGAAACTATCTTAATTAATAACGAAACTACATATGTATGATATTTGTAATTAGTTGTTGCACCAATATACACAAGGGGAAGATGTAGTATCTATGTAGTACAAATTCTAAAATATTAAATTTTAAAGCTAGTCAATAAAAATATTCCTTTGTGAAATATTCTCTCAAATGGCTTGAGAAAAAAGCGAATTCTACTGATTTAATTGTTAAGGAATATATCTCCAATTCTCCAATATGAAATAAAAACAATTAGATTAAATCGTAAACGTATATATTCATGTCGAATAAAGAAGGTATGGTCATGCATGAATAATTAATTAATATCATAAGTACATTTTTATGACTTTTTAATTTAATTCCCACTTGTTAAGATCGAGTTTAGTGAATCTAAAGGTGCAAATGGTTTGCATAAGTGGAACAGGTGGAATAACGTAAGTGGGAAAATGTTTTTTTTTTCTCGACTAATTTCTCTCTTATTTTGTAGAGGAATGTCTTCTTCCAACTTTATTCATGTTTTTAATTTTTATTAGTGGAATAATCACTTTTAAAAACTTTTTAATCCAAATTGTAAATATGTAGCGGAACGTTCAATTTCACCAAATTTTCTATTCAAATGGTAAAAATCTAGGAGGTTTTTTACAAAAATGCAATTTTTTGTGTGTATTTTTGTAATAATGCCACTTATGGGTGTCTATTTACAAAAATACCACTAATTATAGAATTATAAAGCCTATATCTTAAAATTCTAAACCCTAAAAAATGTTTTGACACCTAAAATCCCCTAAACACTCAAAACTAAACCCTAATAGAACATAATTCACTCAAACATAAATAATATAAAGAAAAAATAATTTCGAAAAAATAGCATTTTTGTAAAGATTTCAAAAATGTGATATTTTTGTAAAGTGACATTTTTTGAAATTTCTCAAAATTAAAATCTAGAGTAATACATAATTTCAACCATTTTTATTCTTTTAAATGAACAACTATTTGCAGCATAAATCAACTTACTATTAAGCGTGGGAGTAGTTTTGTCTGTGGTCCGTGCACTAACAATATTTCAGTATTAAAGTACAAAGTTAGTCTCTTTAGTATTTCTTTTACAGTTTTCTCGTAATCCGATAAGAATGAAATTGTTTATAAGCACAACAAATTATGAATTAATAGCTCTTTGGAAATTCTTTTATGGTCAAAATAGCTTAGTTTCTACTTTCTACATTGGACATATTTTATTTTTTGGGGGTAATAACCTCAAAACGTACACCATTACGTTTTCTGTTTAAACATTGTAAATTTATATTTGTAGGCTTAAATAGAGATCTCTTTACCACATCAAATAATCAAAATAGTTTAATTTTTATATTGAACGCATTTCATTCATTTTTTGTAATAAAGCAAAAAATACTAGTTTATAAAAAATAAAAAAATGTGAACTACAACAATGACCTTTGAGTTTTGAATTTTTTGGTTTTTTTTTTTAAAATGTAAATTTATGCCTGTAGGCTTAAATTAAGCCGCTTAATTAAAGATGCCTTTACCACAACAAATAGCCAAAATAGTTTAATTTCATTTTAAACACATTTCATTCAGGTTTTGGTATTCACATCAAAACATACAATTTTTTTTTTTTTTGAATTTGTGGGTTATAATCTTTGAGTTTTGGAATTTTTAAAAAGAATTGTAAATTTCTGTTTGCAAGCTTAATTAGAGACTCATTTACAACAAAAAAAATGTAAAATTGTTAAATAGTTTACTTTCATTTCAGAGATATTTCATTCATTTTTAGTAATAATGTTAAAAGAATACAATTTTTTTGGAGTTTGTGGGATATATAACCTTTGAGTTTTGGATTTTTTTTAAAAAATTTACATTTATGTTTGTATTCTTAGTTAGAGACCATTTACCACAGAAAATAGTAGACATAATTTAGTTTTATTTCATTGATTTTTTTTGTTAGTAACATCAAAAGCACTAGTTTTTAAAAATTTGTGGGTTTGGGTTTGGCAAATTTTACCATAATAAATTTTTGAACATCAAAAGCACCTTTGGGTTTGGCAAATTTTTGAAATAATAAATGTTTTTGTTAAAATGCGTAATTAGAGACTACTTTACCTTAACAAATAATCAAAATTGTTTAGTTTATATTTTGGATACATTTATTTAATTTTTGATAATAACGTACAGAAAGTACAAGTTTCTTTAGAATTCAGGGGTTATATAACCTTTGAGTTTTGCAAAAAAAATTGAAACCCATAACCTGCGCGCTTGGGGTCTCTTTCATTTAGCTGCACGATAATGGAATCTTAGATAGTAAAAAAAAATAAACCACGAAGTCATGAACTAATATTTTTTTTTGCCCCGGGTTCAAACATCTTTTAGGACAGAGAATTATTTTTTAAATCGAAATATCCAAAAGCTGTCTCCGAATACCGAGGAGATTATGAGCTAAAAGTTCGGAACTCCCGATTATATAAAAAAAGCTGTCTCCGAATACCGAAAAGATTATGAGNTAAAAGTTCGGAACAAAAAGTCTGGAACTGATGAGACTTGATTGAAACAAATGATTGTTCTGAAGAGTGGTTATTCGCCATATGTTGGGATTATAGGGCTTGGGCTCATCTTTAGGTTAATATATACGATAGGAATAATAATGGGCTTATGGACAATATTGGACATTTTATGACCTTAAGGGATTATAATGGGCTTAATCTCAATTTCATCTTTCAGCTGATCAAATCTACAGAACTTGGTAAAGAGAGTGTTTGAAAGGTAGATAATAATGTAATGACAACAATATTTAAACACCTCGAAAATTAGCAACATTACTCAAGAATACACCAAAGATTTCATATCTTCTCAAATTGGACATATATTTCGTCCAATGCTTTTCACGTATCAATGAAAGAAGGTTGATCCATTACCTTACGAAAAACTTGATCAAGTGGTTCTCACTTGAACACGTTTCGATTTCTTCATGGAATTCTGTTCATCTTTGATATGAAAAGCGTGGTAGCCTAATGGTAACACAAGAGGATAGGTTTCTTTATGTCTCGGGTTCAAACTCTTTTTGGTATGAAAGATTATTTTTTAAATTGGAATAGAAGATTATGAGACAAAAGTTCGGAATTCCAACGGTTTATTAAAAAAAAAAAACTTTGATTCTATTTTCAACTTCTTTTGACTCGTCGTTGAAAAGAAAATTATTACAAAAAGCTTGTACGGAGTTGTTAGACTTATATAGACAGTGGTATTTTTTTCCTTATATTATTGTTATTAATGTATTACATACTTTGGTAGAAGAAAAATAAACGAAACAGTACGTATATTAAAAAACAAAACATTCATGATCGTG